ACCAAGAAAGCTGTAATATACAGCCAAGCCCTCCGATGCCATCAAATTTGCACTGAGAACACTCACAATCATCACCTTGCCAATATCAAAAGGGCTTTAACTCAACAAGGACACTTCTCCAAAAAGATAGATTGCGCTTTTGAAAGAGCCACCCGAATACTACATGAAGAACTGCTGCAGTACAAAAAGAAAATACCCACAAATGGCACACCATTAGTTATGACATGCAATCCTTCCCTGGAACCTATATGGAAAACCCTTAAACAATTTCAACCCATACTAAAAGAAGACACAATTCTTAAAGAACTTCCCAGAGCCACCCATCCTAGCCTTTAAACAAGCACCAAACCTCTCCAAACTCAACACCAGAAGCAAACTTCCTATGGTCCAAAGCACACCAAATGGATTCAGCCCATGTTGGGACATCAAATGTTAAACCTGCCAACACATCTCCACCACTTCCATAATAACTAACCCCACAACAGGACCATCACCATTCCTGGATCTTACACCTGCACCTCCACAAATGTAATATCTCTCATCCAGTGCACTGAATGCCCTGATGGAAAATACATAGGAGAAACCAAACAACCATAGAGATCTGTGCACCAGAACGAATCCACACCTAAAATCTTTCAAAGACAAAAATACCCAATTGCCTTTGGGGGCACATTTCTCACAAGAAAACCACTCTCTCTCCTATCTCCCAGTTCTAATCCTCAAAGAGAACTTGCAAAACACCTTTCATAGACAAGCCTACAGACTGCACTTCATACATCTACTGGATACAAAAAATCATGGACTAAATATAGACATTGGATTTATGGCAGTTAGAACTTACCTGACATCAGATAATCCCAGGTAACCTCTCTACATTTTACCAGCTACATTTTACCACTAGGTCAACGTTCAACCCCGCTTCCCCCAAACTGTCTTGCACATATTGTCTCACATTCCCTCTGATCTTCACTGCCTTGCATTTGCATTTTCAGACCTGAATTTTGCATATTGGCTTCCAAGAAGAGCACACAAATGCCAGCAGACTCTACCTATGCCTAAAGAAGGGTGTTTGTGTCCAAAAGCTTGCATAGAACAATTTTTCCAACTATTTCGTTGTTCTAATCAAAGATATCACATTTACCCAAAGAATCTTGTCTGCCTATGTCTTTAGACCAACATAACTATAACCAATACCTCCAAAACTAGTAATATCATCATATTAAGCATTATGCTAAAAATTCATTCATTGCTTAGTTTAAGAAAAAAACTATTTCAGGTAAACATGTCTTTTTCCCCCAAAACTTCAAATTTAGCTATACCAGACTTCAGAAATATGGGGGTAGGAGGGAGGGTCTTTTCTCCCCCAGGAAGTTTGATGGTTATACGATGATCTTTTCTAGACCCTCATATCTCTATGACAGTTAAAGAGGAGGGAATTGTAAGTAAACTCTGAACATCCTGTAAATGTTGCTACTGCAGCTGCACAATGCCCCAAGTCATTCAGCAGTAGACATCAACTTTGTCAACCCTTACCAGATTTCAACATAGATCCCATGTACTTTATATATGCTATAGTCTGGTAGTGTCAACTCTATTGAATCGTGGTACCACAATTGGGGATCTTTATATGAGCACATCTATATTATCTTAAAGGAAATTGGGGAATGGCTATCTATGAAAACGCACCATCCCCTCATGAGACTAACAAATAATGCTGTTTCAAATTCTAGCCCATTATCTGAACAGTTTGAAAAAAACCCCATCTCTTATCACAGGAAAAATATAATCGAAGCCTTGCAGTAAAAGGTTATGCCTCCTAATTGATGAATAAGGTATCTGTTCTGTTCTTGAATGTTGTTATGCAGTGGGCCTTATATTTTAAATGCACATTACATTTAATCTGTCTTATTTGCGTAACGGTAAATGTTCAGTGTTTAAACACATCTTCAGATTTATAGATCAATTCATCATGATTTAATGAATCATTTAACATTCATTTCCTCTTGCATTTCACACATGTTGTGAATCTGCAAACTTGGCCCGGGACATAAGATGAACTCATGTACATTTTTAAGGAAGACATCCATTAAGATGAATCACTTGTTAATCACTATTAACATTCTGGCCAAAAAGCGTCATATATATTCATCAATGGTGACATCTATTTACTTAGTTGGTTCCCTTACTGAAAAATGACCTTTCCATCAAGCCACAAGACGTAACTCACTCTGCACATCAGTAAGCTATTAAAAGTTTACTATTGTAGTGCTGGGAAACGTGTGTGGTGCTAGGACATGATAAGATAAACATCTCCAAGATCTTCTTGTTGTTTATTTCTAAATAGTGAATTTCTGACCTCACAATTGTCCTAATCCTGGCAATCTTCGTAAGCATATCCTACTGGAAAAATATGTTTTAGCAACCTGTAGGCAGGACCAGCAAAGCAGTGAGATACCAGCAAAATTATGTAGCTGAAGAACATTTTAAAGTGTAATAAATTTTTAACCTCTCTTCACAGAACATAGTGAAAACATACTCAGTATTTTTACAAAGCTTCTCCACTCCTTTCTTTTAAAAGAACATCTCTTTTTCAGATGTAACCAAATGGGAAGATTGGCAAAGATAGTAACCTGTATCTGTCCTGTAGTTCTTTAATATGTGGAAATAATTAATTTTCCTCCATATTCTATGATGTTTTAAACTTAAAGTTTCTTTTTGAGACCTTCCATCTATAGGGTCAAATTCTCAAAATTGATCACATGAAGTTGCAACCATGACTTTACTTTTTCTGCTTCAATGTATGCAGGTGCCTACTCCAAAATATATACATAGACTTGCATGTGCCTTATAAGAGAGCTGTGAAGGGGCTAAGGAGTTGCAAAAAAGTTCTTGGCAAGCTTTTAGGTGCAGTCACCTTTCTTCAGGCATAGGAAGACTCCCTATGCCTGAAGAAAGGTGACTGCACCCAAAAGCTTGCCAAGAGCTTTTTCCCAACTACTCAGTTGGTTTAATAAAAAATATCACATCTACTTGAAGAACCTGCCTGCCTATGTCCTTAGACCAGCACGGCTACAACCAAAAACCCAGTGAAGGGGCTAAGTTGCTCATTATTTCCTGCAACAGTGAAATAAATAAGTTTACAATGCTAAAGGGTCTCTCAGGCTAAATGGATTTTATCCCATTGCTTTAACATTTTAAAATAATCACAGTTGTTTGATTTTTGCATCTCTACCACAAAACAAGACTTAAGTGACTAATTTACTAAGCACATACTTGTGCACACACGGTATCTGCATGCATAATTCTCGTGGGTGTCTAAGTTTGAAAATCTGGCCACTACTTTTAGACTAGGTGTGTCAAACATACAGCCTGTGGGCTGGATCTAGCCTACGGGGCACTGAATCCCATGAGCTAGCCCTAGCCCTCTGCACTGCCTGCAGCACACAGGCTGGACCCTGAGCAGAACGTGCTGCAGGTAGCTCAGGATTGGTTTGGGACACTGCATGCAGCCCGTGCCCTGAACCTGCTATGCCATATGTAGCACTGGTCCAACCTGCACACTGCAGGCAGCATGTGCCCTGTTCCGGCCCCAGGGGCTGTGTGCACAGCAGTGCCGTAGCGAGGAAGTTTGGTGCCCGGGGCAAGCCTGCAGTGGCAGACCACCCTCACCCTGCTCACAGATCTGGGAGGCACACCCAGGAGTGCATGAAACAGCGGGAGCTGCCCTCCCTGCATCCCGGCGCCCCTCCATATGAGCGGCTTATGGCCCCATCCTGTGCCCCACCCTGACTGGACAGCACCTGTTGGCACCTCTTCGCCTCGGTGCCCAGGGCATTTATCCTGCTTGCCCCCAACTTGCTACAGCACTGGTGCACAGCGAGCCCTGGGGCTGTCCTATACTTTACATAGAGTGTAGAGCTGTAGCAGCACAGGACGTGCCACAGAGGGTCAGCCCTGGTCTGGCCCACACACTGGCTTGGGAACGCTCATCCGGCCCTCTGGGCTGAATGAACTTGATTCCTCTGCTTTAGACCTCTGGTTTCCAACTGGAATGCTGTGGCACCCTGGGGAACTGAGGCATGGGCACCACTGTTGCTGCCACTGGGTGAAACAGGTCCATGTGCCTTCCATCAAGCCAGACCAGGAACGGCTACAACAAGTGCCTGTGTTTCTACCTGCATCAGGGTTAGCTGGTAAGTATAAAGCAAGTAGGAACACCCTGTCTGTCACAGTCCTTCTCAGTTTGACCCTGCAGGCTCCCCCTGGAAGCATGGGCATGCAAGATAGGAGAGCTGAGACAGCAAAACAGTGGTTCTGAGCCGGGGAGCCACCAAACACAAAAAAAGTTATGGAGGGGTGCCCTGAATCTGAAAAGGTTGCAAACCGCTGCTTTAGATGCTGGATCGCCAAAGTACATGAAATGACAGCAGTGGAAGAAAACGCGTATAATGAACAGATGTCTGGTTAAGTAAGTGGGAAAGAAGCTAACCCACTTTATAGCTTGGGATTTAAAGTATGAGAGAAATGATTAGGTGTCTGCTTAAATTGCAGTAAGGGGCATAGCTGTTCAACAGGTTGCTGTAGATTGAGCTTCCCTATGGGCAAAACCCAGCACAGATGCAGAGATGTAACTCATTATGTGCAACACATGCAATAAATGCCCATTCATTTTTGTAGAATGCACACATTAGCAATATGGATCTATGCCTCTATAAATATGCTATGTTACTGTACTGGTTTCTATTGTTAAGCAGTAGTACTAAATATACCTTTAATAACTGACCCAAATCCAAGTGGAATCCGAAGGCACTTGAAGTGTTACCAGAAACAAATGATTAACTCAGGCACTTGACAAACATTAAAGCGTCATCAAAACAAGCCCTTGTCCAACTGAGTGAATGCACCTTTTGTATAAATTGGGTGGATTCAACAGAATCCTTAACTCTTGCCTTTGCTGGTCCTCTTCCTTCCTGACTGAAATCTGAATCAAACAGGTGCTATTTCGGTAACATGAAGGGCACAATACTGGCTCTGGTTTTATTTTCTGCCCTGGTTGCTGCCTCTGAAGCAAAAGGTGAAGGGAGTTTTATGAAACTTTGCGGGAGAGACTTCGTAAGAGCAGTTGTCTTCACTTGTGGAGGATCCCGATGGAAAAGGCATCTGAGTGACTATCCGCATGTATCTGGTAATACTGATTTTTTTTTATTTATTTTTTTTTACAGTGGGCTTATTTCTCTCTTCATATACTGAATTCAGTGATGGGAGGGAGGGACTTATGACTTGCTTGCATCTAAGAATGTGGCTCTACGTGTGTTTTCTTGTTTAAAAAGTCACTTTTCAAAGTTGAATTGTGAGATTCATTTTATTCAAACAATGCAATGGCACAACCTACATCTATGTTTTCCTGCAGGTTATTATGCTTAGGTTTTTATCTTCTTAAATAAAAGACATCTAGGTTGAGATTTTCAAAGCCAGCTTTGGGGACTTGGTCAGATCAAACATCTCAATCCTGGTTTTAAAGCCAACAGCAAAATGCTGGCCGTACTGAAACCAACAGAAGTTTTGCTATTGTCTTCAATGGGAAATGACTTTTTCCCAAGGTTTCACATTAAAGTATTTTTATTTATAACATAATTTATTCACAATATTTTTGTGTGTCACCTGAACACTATATATTAACAACATGTAAGATGTAATAATATGTCATCACATGGCTATTTTATCAGTCAGAAAACAGACGGAGTCAGAAAAGTCAAGAATAAGCATACAAGTCTAATTAGTATGATCTGCTCTACTAGAGATTTGTACTTAACAAATTTGGAATCTTATTTAGGAAGGATAAAATAAATGTGTTTTGTTCTAGGAGAAACCAAAACCATTCTTTCTTTTTCCAGTCAAAAGCATCCACTTTCTATGAAGGTGATATACTATCAAAAGCTAGCGTGTGGCTACATGTGGAGAAAAAAGAATGTGGCCAGAAATATTTCTGCAAGACCACTTATTAGAGTACTTGCTAAATGGGAAAAAATCACTAAGCAAGGAGTGGATGTTTTTGTACTTTGATAATAAGAAAACAGCAAATTGTACTGAGAACTTTAAATGCACTTGAATTACGAACAGCTGGGAAGTATAATTTGCTGTAAGATGATATAATTTTAGTGCCTGGAACAACTGAGAAACTTGAAATTATTCGCATCCATATACAAGACATGAAATCTGAGGAAGAGCAGGATCAACTATGCAATTAGTCCAATAAAAGATACCACAGATGCATCCTTGCTTCTTATTTTTTTTATTAGACCAACTATTTGGGTTGGTCTAATAAAAGATATCAAATTCACCCAAGGAACCTTGTCTGCCTATGTCCTTAGACCAACACGGCTACAACCTAAAATCCTTGCTTCTTATACACCTGACATGGATTTCAGGAAGGAACGCATCATGTGCTAGTGTGGCAGATAGATTTTAACTATATTTGTCAGACAAAGCTTCACTATTTTTATGCTTCGAAGCAAACGTGCAATAAGCATATCAGTTGTGGCCAGCAAGACAACTGCCCTTGTAGATAACACATTTGTTGTACTCACAAAGATTTTCACAACAAAGCTGTAAAATGGGATATCTGTGGAATCTGTTTCAGTGCTCTGTGATCAAGTACGTCTTAATCTTTCATATCATAACAAATATGCACAATGACATGAAGACTGATATGACTTCAGGGTTGCTTTTCTCCCTAGTCTTTTTCCATTACAGCTGAAAGTCTAAGACTTATGAAGAATCCCGTATCTCCAAATGTAATTTGTTTCTCATTTTTATGCAACAGAAAGAGAAAAACACCTCCATTTGCCGCATGGAAGCAATGATTATCCAGAATCCTTGGGATATGGAGATCAGGCACCAGAATCCCTAAACGAAGAAATTCCTAACACCAAAACTGAGTCTGAAAGAGACTTAACAGTTGTCAGGCAAATGTCCATGGCAGAAAAGCGTGAAGTGGCTGCACTGCTCACTACATCCTGCTGCAGCATTGGCTGCACTGAAAGAGATATAAGTTCATTGTGCTAAAACCTAGCAGGTGTTGGATAGATTAGATTTCATTGCTTTAATATCCACAAAAAACCCCCAAAACACAAACCATGTTTAACTGTCTGAAATAGCTTGTTCTGATTGTATTTCTTGATTTTTAGCTTAATGTTTTTGTATCACACCACTGGTTAAAAGTTAACATTTATCAGTTTACTCCAAGCCAGCTTGGAAATGACTGTGTCATAACTCAACTTTCTGTAAAATATACTTAAAAACAACATGTATTAAACAGTTAAGTTTCAAAATGTATGTACAAATGTTTGCCCTATCCAGTTACTGTTCAGTATCAGTTTTTGTGATTAAATTTAATAAAATGTGCAATTTACCATGTATGGTTCTCATTATATTTTCTTGCTCCCATACACACAGTAGCAGGATTTCAGTAGAGCCATCAGACCTGGGTATATGCATCACTCAAAGGTTCCCTTAGATAACAAAATACAGTATATGTATTTTTATATACATAGTATCAAACTGAGATTGGGATTCAAATTGCATGTTTGATTGGCTATACCAGATCACACCAGTGATTAGGTCTCCTAGGCCCCCTCTACACGTGCATGTAAAGGCACGATTGGATCTAACACATGATCCATCGTCACACATTAGCTCCTTCTTGCTGGTGTAGGGGGAGCCAGATCCTAGGCTCCTCCTGCATCTGTAAGCAAGCAAGCACCCATGGCTGGGAGCCCCCTTTGCTGAGGGCTATGCACAGCCAGGAAGAACAGTCCCCACAGCTCATGGGGCTCTGGGTTCTGGCTCTGCCTCATGCACAGCTGGGACTCAGAAACCCCACAACCCACAGTGCTAGTAAGGTGCAGCTGAGACCCAGAGCCTCGTCAGGGGCAGGACTCTAGGTCCTGGCTGTCGGTGAGACACAACCGAGACCATGAGCCCCACATGTGCCCCAAGGGGTTTCACACAGCCCGAGCTTTGGGGGTCACAGCAGCCCTGCCGACTGGGAGCCCTGTAAGCTGACAGGGCTCCCAGATGCAGGAGAGACCCTGCTATATGTGCAGATTAAAGCTTGATAGCAACCAGCTATAAAGTTAGTACACATTTCTGGGGTCTAATTTTATAGTTGGTTGGAGCTTTTTATGGCTATTGTGCATGTGTAGCTGGTCTCATGGTAATTGTGCAATTAGCCAGTGAACTGCATGATACCTGTACCATGTAGAGCAGGCCCAACACTAATAACTACGAGTCCTAGAGAAAGTTGCTAGAATTCCTATCAAAAGTTCCTGAAGGTACAACTTACCCACAGGGGAAATATTTTCCTATAATTAGGGTGAACATATGTCCTGGATTGGCCAGGACAGCCCTGGATTTCATCGGCTGCCATGGTGTCCCAGCTGGTTAGTGTAAATTGAAGCCAAAGTCCTGGATTTGGCTGCTGAAGGCAGAGGTAGAGGCTGCTGCCACCTGCAGTGCCGGGCCCAACTCCCGCTGAGTAGTGGCTGGAGGCAGGGGGGGCTGGAGGCTGGGCACTGCTCCTCCTGCCTGGGGGCAGGGATCAGCTGGAGCAGGGCAGGTTGGGAAGCTACCTGCTGCCAGCACTTATGTGCCTTGCTGCTACAGCTGCTGCTGAGGCCTAGGCTGTGTGTGACGGCCCTGGGCAGCTGCTGATGGCTAGGGGAAGGGGCTGCTCCAGCTGGGTCCAGCCTTTATGCACAGAGGATAGAGATCAGCCATGGGTCTCCCCACTGTCCTGCCTTGCTCCGCCATCAGGGCTCCTGGGAGCTGCAAAGTCAGCAGGGTGGGGGTGCAGTGGGGGAGCGAGAGAGAGTGAGCGAATGTGCATGTGTGCATGCACACACAGGGCTTAGGCAGTTGACTCAGTGATCAGCTCTGAGTCAACTGCCTAAGCTCAGAGGATGAATGGGAATTAGGGCCCTTAGGCCCATTAGGCACTGCCAAGTGGGTAGATGCCCTGGGGGGCACCTGAATCTCCTCATTTACTATATAGGAAGCCTAGATGCCTAACCCTGTTGATTAGCATCATGTACTGGAGGCAAAGGGCCTAAATTTATAGTGACAGTGAAGTTGAGGTCCCTTAGAGGTCAATTAGAATCTGGCCCCTAGGCACTGGACTTTCAATAAGATTCATAGAGAAACTCAGGGGAAAAAAACCCTGTTTAACTTACAGGATTAGCCCCATTCATATATTTATAAAATATTTCTACTTAACTGAGACCGTCTACAGCTAGGGGCACAACATTTTTACCATCCTAAAGCAAGTCTCCTAGATCACTTTATTTAAAAATAAATAAATAAAAGGAAAACATAAAAAAAACAAATGACCCATGGAGAAAGGTACATAACTGGTAAAGCAATAAACCACTTAAGCGCTATAAAAGTTAACACCTGAACATTCACTGCTGGACCCAGGTCACTCAGTAGCAGCTGTTTACTTGTAATTTCTGTACCATATACAAGTTTTATGGCCTAAAATGATTATTTGCTATTGTCTAACTCATAGTGAGGGACCTATAGAACCAAGATAAAAATGAATCCCCCATCATCTATGGTTTATGAGACGACTATTTTTTTCACAGTCCCACAAACTGACAGTAGATGATTTCATGCTTTATCAGGAAGTGCATTTAATATCAAGAATTAAAAAGCAGTTGTGTTACCTTCAGGGAGGATTCTGTTACCAAACACTGTCTACGTGCGAGTTGTAAACCACTGCCACTGCTCACACCGTAATCAATATAAACCCATGTTTTACATATAAGAAAAACATGTATATATTTATATATGAAACCAGTAGCACCTGCTCCTCAAAATGCAGCTGTTTTTAGTAACCTTGAATAAGAGACTTATTTCTGAAGTTTTAGAAAGCTGTTTATCATAGAACATAATGCAGAATGATTTACTTTCTGATATGAAAGTAAGATCCACATTTCCTCCATCTTTCTTGGAGGGCTGCATTTGCTGGCATTGAATTCCTTTATTGTTCAACTTGGGCACCTGGTACATTTTGACTGTGCAATTAAAGCCCCATGTAAGGTTTATTTTAGTGGTGATATGTTCATGAATAAAATTAAATCTGTCAAGTATATCAACAGGTCTCTAAACTACACAGACTCAAAAACCTTCTGTGTGGAAGGTTGATTTTTTTTCAGGTGAAAGCAGACCTGGGTATTATAACCACAAGACATCCCTTCCCTCCAAACACAAGCCAACTGAGAATTACATAAGTACTTGGGGGTTCAGGGTGTGAAATGTTCATAAAAAATGACCTTAAGCACCTTCTATGTGCCACAACTCTCAAGTGACAAAGAGCTTGCCCATCTCCACACCTACAGTGCACTTATTGAAGCTCAGCCCCAGGTTTGAAAAGCATTATCAAATAATCAGAGCATTTATTTCTCTCTCAAACACTTTCTACACTTCTTCTCCATTCACTGTATTTCTTCAACTAGAAAAGGAGTTTACAGTAACCAAAACCAAACACTACCAGAATACCAGGAATAGCTTCAGCTTTTAAACATGCTCATTCCCAAATCTTGAAAAAAGAACATTTTAATATCACTTCACTAGTAACAGGTACATAAACTGAGTTTTTGTTGGGACATTGGACTCAGAGAGGTACAGAAAAGAATTCAGACTCATCAGTAGCAAAGGAGCATGATTTATTTATTTGGCAGGGGGAATAAAACTAGGAAACATTCATTAAAAGTTTATGATCATCTGAAAGGACTTGTCAGACTGGAAAGAAAGATGTGATAAGGCACAGGCAATGCGTAAGGGGGACACGTGGCCCCCCCTGACAGGGCTGCCGCCACTGCCGCTGGCAGCACCTGCAGAAGCTTGCCAGCTTTGCCCCTGCCGGTGGCGGTGGCGCCTGCGGGTGGCCCCCCAGACTCGGGAAGAACCAGTCGCCCATGTGATAAGGACTTCTACACAGCACACTGATTCTGTGTGCTCTAAGGGAGGCAATTCTGGATACACCATGCAAGGGTGAAGTTGTAAACATCTCCTGTGTCTTTCAAGCTGTTTTAGTGTAGGCAAAAACTATCTTCTGTGATGCAAGATTACTGCACCTCTCTATCAGAACTTCTGAGCTTGGCCTAAAGAAACCTATTGTAGAAATTATACCCCCACGCGGCCATTGACCTTTGTCCAGTGGAAGTTCTTGTGCATGAAACAACAATAACAACACACTCTAGCATACATATATTCTGGTTTCAGTGTGGAAAACTTGGTTGCAGAGTCAAAAACTTATTTTGGGTCTTAGTGGTACCGTGATGCAACAGTTAAAAACCATGTAGACAGAAAATGGTAACCTGCATTCGGTCCTTTTTAAAAAAATTGTAAAAGAAAAATGATTGCATTATCTATTCTGAATGCTGTAATTCACATTGCTTGGGTAATTTACCAACATACGTTCTTTCACATGTGGAAACAAGGAAAAGAATGGACAACACTAATTTAACTTGGTAAGAAAGCAAAGATATAGGTGAACAGACAGGGATTTACCAAGATTTCTATTTAAAACCAGACACAAAACATCTCGAGGTATACCAATATATCGGTTGGATATAGGATCAGCACTGATAAAAGGAAAATTAACATTATCGGCAATCGGGTTTTTTTGGCTAGTGTAGCCAATAATGTCACCAAAAATGCTGTGTGTATGTGCACAACTACAGCATGCACACGGCCAGGAATGCAGCCCGGCAGTTTGGAGAGCAGCATTTAGCCAGTAAGTCTGTGGTGGGGAAGGGACATGGGGGAGGTAAGGGGCATGGGGAACAAATCAAGGGCCCCATGGTGAAGGAAGGAGTGGTGGGACAGGTGCTGCCCAGCCAGGGTGGTGAATGCAACCCTTCTGAGAGTGGGACAGAGCTACAGGTGGTATGTGCCCCCCTGTATCTGTGTGCAGGGCAAGGACAGGCTGTCCACTGCAGGCTCGGGGCCAGAGGCTGTACCAGCCTCTTCTGAGCAGGGGGAATGGGCCGGGGCTGCGCTCAGAGTGGGCAGGGGCAGGGTGAGTGGTGGCAGAGCTAGGAGGAGTTGCTATGGGGTGGGCTATAGCCACCCCAAGATTCCCCATAGCCACACATCCCAGTGCTGTTGCTGGCCATCCCAAGTGCAGGCCCAGCCCAGCCCCGCTGCCAGGAAGATGCTAGCATAGGCTCTGGCCCTGAGCCTGCAGCAGGCAGCCTGCCCTTGCCCTGTGCACAAATCCAAAGAGCACATGTCTCCCACGGAGGTGCGCACAGTGGCAGGGAGCCACCCCACCCCGGTCATCATGCCCTCCCAGATGAGCCATCCATGGCTCCATCCCACTCTTGGGGTAGCATTTAGCATCCTGGGAGGGCAGCTCCTGCCCCTGCCTCACTCCCTCCCTCACTGTGGGGGCCTTGATTCCCCCTCCCCGCCATGCCCTGTCCCTGCCCCACACCCCTTCACCCCCCACAGACTTACTGGACAGACACTGGTCTCCAAGCTGCCACGATGCATTCCTATAAATCAGCTATCGGATTGGTATCAGCTGATATGGCTGTTTAATAATTGGCTATCCATGTTGGCCAAGAAAATCTTTATCAGTGCACCCCTAAAAAAATCTTAATAATGATTTTCACCTCTTGCACTGTGCACTTTGACTAACAGATTTACTTTATTACATGCAAAATGGAAACAGAATTTCATGTGTATATCACAAACTAGAAACATTACTGTCTGCAGTATATTTAAATATCTGTGAACATGATGAACTGATATATGTCATGATAACTTCACGAGCTTTTCCTCACTGCTTTTAATTCTTATTGAAATTAAAAGTCCAAATGCTCTCATTCAAAAAACAGCAGAACCTCTGCAGTTGTGCAGCAGAAGAGGTAAGGACAGGAAGAAAGGGGGAAAACAGAGCTGAAGACAATGAATAATGTGGCTCAATTACCTGAAAAATCTTTATGGGACACTCTTTGCAGCTCACAAAACCCTAACTGTGCAATACCCATTCATACAGCTCATGGCTTAGCTGTGCATATGCCCAACTTCTTGTCTCTGTATTGACAGAGTAGGACAAGGATTTTTTACCTTCCAAATTTCAATATTGGTCTTATACACGAAACTGTTTTACTTAGGGACTGACACTGAGGACTAGGATTGAGTCAGAACACAATGATACAAGAAGTGGTATTTGGTTTTAAAACATAGAGTCAGGTGCAAACTGTCATTTTAGTAGGAATCATTCTGAAGGAATGTAGTAAAAGTAGAAAATCATTTAAGTAGGTATGCATGGTTATTACGTTTAACCCTTAAAGGTTTATCACATCCACATTTAAAAATAGATGTAATCTGGCTGGGGCCTCCCTCAATTTTTTCCATAATATAAACATAAAATAGATTCATATTTATTATCTATACTATTATTAGATGTATAATAATCTATATGATTCTATAGATTAATATATCTCATAATATAAACATGATAAAATAGATTAGTATCATTTCCCCAACTAGATTTTTTTCACTATTCAAAATAAACAGCATAAACATTTGCATGAGCAAACAGTGAGGTATTTTTAAAAGCATACGATGAAAATGTATCACTTGTAGGATCCCAAAGGCATCTGCTTCCAATTTGCATGCTCTGTTCGTTTAGTTGTCCAATATGGATAATGACAATTATCTTGTACCTTGGTATCATGAGCTCTTTTACCCGAGCTTTAATTACCTACAAGAGGGAAACATGTTTAGATATATTATTCATAAATTATTTTTATGCTACAGGATTAGGAAGGTAAATGTACAGATATATAGTATGCATAGTATAGAGAGGTACAAGTACAAGAGATGTATAGTAGAGATGTACAAGTACTGTATTAGTACTTGCAGAACCATCAGTGGTAATGACTTACATTGTAGTTTTGTAGCATCGTCCCCAAACTATGATAGTCCCATGCAAAGTTAAATGTATGACAGCATATTGCATCCAAGAAAATAGCATTTCCAAAACACATGAAACATCACATTCTTAAGGAATTAATGTTAGGAATGATACAAAATGGCAGACCCTCCTAGCAAAATTACAGAAATGAAACTACAGATGTAGTAAGAGAAATTACTGTAAAAATGGCTTCTCACTCAACAAATTATCTCCTTTTAGTTATTCCAAATAATAGCTGTTGATTAAAGGCGAAAAAAAATGAGGTTTTATGGGTTTTTTAAAAATTCCTGGTGACAATCAAAACCAAATTAGCTAAACCAGGGGTGTCAAAGATATAGCCTGCGGAGCCCCCTTATCCAGCCCCGGCTGCTGTCCCTGGGTCTAAGTTGACGTATGCATCATATGTGCCCCAGGAGCAGAGCCAACTAACTCTGGGATCCACATCACATATCCTGGCCAGTCTGGGACACGTACCACACACGGTGTCTGCTCCAGCTGGTTCAGGATGGGTGTCACATGCAGTGTGGTACCTGTTCCAGTCACTCCAGGATTTATGTCACATGCCCCGGCTAGTCTGGCTGCTTCTCAGGTGCTGCGTGCAGTGCAGGTCCCGGAGCAGCTGGAACAGATGATACGTGTGGTGGATTTGGCAAGCAGAGGGGAGGAGAGAATCCATGGACTTGATTTGGTCCATGGACTGGCCGCCCTGCCATTCATCCAGCCTGTGAGGCCAGATGCCTTTGTCATCCCTGAGCTAAAAGAATGAGCTTCATACACAATTCTTAGTAAACTGATTGGTTTACTAGTTCCATTCAATGCCAGCCACCTCCCTGACAATTTGTGTGTCACTTGACAGAACCAATATAGTCCATTTGCAGAGGTGTCACCATGCACTCATTTTCAATAGTACTGGCAGTTTTGGATTTATTACTCATGATTATGCACAAACTGCATAGAGCCCAGCCTAACCCTTTCTCCCAGATGCTGAAGAGTTCAGAAAAGAATCTTTAAAACTGAGCATATAAACGGATGTAAAGCATAAACCTAGATACAATGAACCTGGAACTCCACAATGTCACGTACATGGTGATTTTGCACTGTACCTTTGTGGGGTTTATGCTGATAAGCTTAGTACAAAATCCAACTCTAAAGCTTATACACAAAATAAAGTCATTTATATGTTACAGCTGTCATGTCAGCTTGTAATTCAGGAATGGCTCCATGTGGAAGATCCCTGAGAGCTTTGTATGTTCAAAAATGGGGGAGGAGGCCTTCAGAAATGCGGGGGAGTCAGAACGAAGCTGAAATACTATCCTGGAAGTTATGGTGAATCATTTAAAAAAATTGACAATAAATTAATATTGCTAGAACAGAAGTAGCAGCAGCAGGACAATATAAATATTTGCATTCGTAAGCAAACGAGGACCTATACAAACAGTGGACGTACCAAGGTTTCATCTCAGTTTGCAAGCAGCTTAAAATAAGTTGCCATACACTTGCCTCCCCAATGGCTCTGACTATGTAAGCTCACAAAGGTATGCAGTTCTTCACATCCCAACATAGTCTTCACAACATATATTTTTCCTTTTCATTACATACTTATGCTGCTGATTATTGCAAAACTTCTCATTTCTGAATGGTGGTCTATGCATTAAATTAAATTAAATTTTGAAGTATATTTTTGTGGCTCCTAGTATTTATTTTCTGCACCTTTTAATACAAAAAGAAGCAAATTGCTATTGCTCTCCTGTTACTAAGTAGAAGCTAAGTACATGCCTGGATGAACTTGTGATATCTAATATAATTTGTTTAAGAGCTAATCATAATGAAATAAATACAAGTTATGATCCAGAGAACATGGCTGATTCATCTCCAGTATTTTCAATGGCAGCAATGAAATGGAAAAAAACATTTCTGGAGCGTTTAATAAAATGTTAATGGGGATTGCTAATATAGGGGGAATGAAGGCATTTTCTCCTTTTATGAATAGATCAAATATATAATTATTTAATTCAGCTAAAAAAGGATAACTCAGCAGTTCTGCATTTTTACATACTTCTATGGTATTCATTGGTAATTGCTTCAGTTTACTTCATTTTCAGAGCACGGATATAAATAAAAGGTTTTAATTTTCAAAACTTAATCAACATACTTTTTATTGTCTTGGATTTGTGTGTATCGTGTGAACCAATGGATTAAGTTACAAAACATGACTATCTTACTTAAAAAAGCAAATGAATTTTTAACTATTTTAAGTATCAATTAAATTGAAGCAAACTAAGGACATTACCTCTGCCTGACAGCATCTACACAGGGGTTTAATATGATTTAACTTCATGCTTCTGATGCATCTGAACCTTTCTGAGATGCCCAATGTGGCTAACACTGCTAACTACATCTCCCCAGTGGCACCAGCACTGTGATCTTCTGGAGCAGGTGGAGGGGGAGATGACATAAAAGTTAATGCAGTCAGAGATGGGCTACCTTTTCTGGGCAAATTTTGTAAAACAGAGGGAGGAGGAAGTACAAGCCCTTGATCTGTTTCCACTCATGGCCCTGCCTAGGCACTTTCCCCTCCACAGTACACATGGCTTACCAGAGAGGGTGGGGGACATGGTTCACGAAAGACCTCTCCATGCTTGGATCTGATAAAGTGGGGAGCAAACTGACCCACCATCTACCCATAAGCTTCATTTTACTCACAAATCACGTTTATACCTCAGAGATGGTTTTTGTCATTTGTCTGCATAACTCCGCTTCATATTTTTCTTCTTGAAGATAATTAGTCAGCACGTCCTTCAAAATATTATTCACCGTAACCACAGGAAAACGTCTTGTAGGACCTGGTACACAAAGACATTTTATATACCTTAACTGTAAGTCTGCATTGAGAATAATGGCATATGCACTGTAATCAAAATGATCAACAAGAGAGCGTTCAAAAAGTACAACACAGTGGAGTCCAACCTTTTGGCACCTGCGTCCTCCTTGAGTGCCACACCGGTCCCCTTTCCCTGTCTTATCTGCTGCTTTGCTTTATGCTTCCTGCCTTGTGCTCCCCACCTAACTTCCTGCTCTCTTTCCGCTCCCTTCCTGATCTGCGACTGTATTACTTGTCCCCTCCTCCATCTGCTGCAGGCCCCACACACATAGTACTTGTGCCACAGGTTGGCCACCCTTGGTATAGCTTCTCTTTTTCTCTTGATTTATGGAGACTCAAATGCAAATGCAAGGTCGGGTTATAAATGAAAATTATCATTATGATTCATACTTGTGCTCACTATAATACTATAATACTAACATGCCAATTTGGCAGGTTTTAGACAAGATCTAGAATAGTAGGGACACTGAAAATCCAGAATGGGGTGTGCTTTGTTGAATCTTATGGCTAGTTCAAACAGTGCTATATATAGTATTTAATTCCAAGAACATTAATTTCCCACAAACTGGGAAAGACAATGATTTTTTAAACTAGAAAATAAAGCATCTTTTAATTTATATTTTGATTTTCTTTAACTGCAGTAACTAGTGTGCCTCATGTTTGTAATAGATGTATTTGAAGTACAAGACAAGGCTTGTAGCTCTTTGGGAATTTTTAATGAAATTCTTCCTCTAGTCTTATTTGCCAGAAAAGCAGGGCAGCACCAGGGGCCAAAAAATGGGACTCTATGGGTCAGATTTGGCCCACAGACCATATTTTTAACACCCCTCATCTGGTCTGATCTCTTAAATAGCCACAGGCTGCCAAATTTCACCCAGTTATCCTGGTCTGGACCTATTCCTCTCAGGCTAGAACAGAGGAGGAAGCATTCATTACCTAGTTGGTAAGTGTTCTCCATCTGAACCGCAGGGCGAGAAAAATCATCATGATGACCAGGTTGATCCATATAAGACACTGTACTCATGGAGCTGAAGATAATGTAAAAAAGTAAATAGCTAAAACTAGTGCATACGGAAATCTATATTAATTAATACGACTGCATTAATGGACTCCATTTTCAATGGAAGACTTATGTCTAAGAAAACCCTTCTACTATGTTCATACTTGTCTGTAAAAATGAGATCAATGAAGAATCTCTTTCCACAGGTCATTCATTACCTGATAAAGAAAGATGCTGCCCTCCAGTGGAACACAAAAACAAAATAACTGAATCGGTGTGCACAGAATATATTTACAAGGAAGAACAGATGAATAATTTTAAAGGGCATACATAATATTTCTCCAAATCCTACTTGCAGCTTCTGTTTTTAAAATTAAAATGCCTTTAAGAAAAAAAGTATTTTAAATTTGCTGGCTGTACTGATAGGAGTAGAATGAATCAAATAATTGCTTCTTTAAAAAAAATACTGTATTTACCTGAACCCAAGATGGCTTTGAATTTAAGACAATCCTTCAATAAGTAGATTCTATGCATGGAAAATTTATAAATCTGTTATAATATTCCATGTATAAAATCTAATTATTGGAGGGAGGGGGGGTCTTAAATTTGTCCTTGCCACCGCTGGAGCAAGATAAGCATTGGCAGGGGGTTAGGTGGGCAGGCAGTGGTGGGATAGGTAGCAGGGGAGTCAAGTGGCCCATCCCCTGTCTCCTTCCACCTGCCCCCCAAGTGCCTGTGTGCCCCAGCTCCTCCTGTCCACACAATGACTGCACCCCCTGGCATCTGCCTACCTCACCACCTTTGCCGCCGCAATTACTGCTTACCCTCCAGCTCTGGCCCAGGATACAGAAGCACATGTTCACTCTGGCCACGGCCTGGTCTGATCGCAGGAGTTGCAGTGACATCTCCAGCCCCAGAGCTGAAGCCATGTCCAGAGCTGCCACCACCACCACTGTGTGGCCTGGTGCCAGCTGGAGCGACCATGCTCCATGCCCCGGGTCCCACTGGAGCTAGAGCTGGAGTTGCAAATGGTAAGTGGTGGCAGGGAGATAGGTGGCAGGGGAGTCAAGTGGCCTGTCCTCTTTCCCCTGCTGACTGCCCTGCCCACCAGTTACGTGCTCCCTCCTTCCCCCCCTCCCCAAACTCCTGCCTCTGGTGCCTGCGTACCCTAGCCCTGGACAGAGTTGCAATAAAATTCAAAAGATGGCTTGTATCTTCCTGGCTTGATCCCTGGTCATCCAGCACCTTGCTAATCCAGTGGTTCTCAAGCAGGGCAGTGGTGCTGCGGCATGGGCCCTGCCACCACGGCTGTTGCAGCTGGGTGAAATTGCCCTGCGTGCCACGTGGGGAGCCAGACTGGGAAGCGGTGGCAGCAGGAGATAAACTTAATGCAGGCAGGAGCATCTGCTCCTGCCCAGCCCGTCCCCACACGCTCCTCTTGGAAACATGGGACAGTTCCAACTGGCAGCGGTGTGACAGTCTGGGAAACCTCAGGCACTTTTCCAGCACCCACCGACTGCCAAGTGAAACTATACCATGCGCCTGTTTCTGGGAAGAACGTGGGCTCAGGCTGGGAAAGGCTGCGGCAGGAACAGATTTCTGCATTAGTTTGACCTAACAAGTGTAACAAAGGTTGAGAACCACCGCACTATTTATATCTTTAGGAACAAGAGCCGAGGCTAAGCACGGACTTTAACCCACCATCAAGTACAATTTTTTCAAGTAATCCCAAAAGCAATTATGATTTAGTCAACATTTACTTCTCTTATCGCTCTAGGGTCAGATTAATATGGCCCAAAACCAATTAAGAGGTCTTTTCCTCTAGTGAAATAGCCACGATGGGAAAAAGAAACCAAACCCATTTGTCGTCTGAGCTAGAAAACCCACCGACCCTCCCGTGCGAGGGGGGCTTCTCGGCGCGCTGCTTAGGAAACAGCACGTCTGTCACCTGCCGGGCCTGCGTCGCCCTAACCCGAGAGAGAAGAGGGCAGGTACTCACTCCTTGCTTCTTCCAAAGACATCTTTCGCTCTGACTTCGTGGCTGCTTAGCGAGGAGACGCTGCCTTGCTTCTTCAAGAGGCGAGATGCCTTCTCCTTCGCTAGGTCCGACATGTCTGTTAGAGCCCAAGAGGTAACACGCGGGGCCCTGGTGACACGCGGGCAGACCGGGGGCACAGTTAGTAAATCAGGCGCGTGAAGGCAGGTGATCTATGGGCCAGGGGGAGGATTTTACACCTTAAAGAGGCGGCGGCCGCACGGCTCAGGGCACCGCCTCCCTGGGGCTGCCCGGGACCCGCTCCCTGGCACTGCTTGCACATCACCCCGCACCCCGGGGGGCTCAGCCCGGCTCCCCGCCGCTCCCCGGGGCCGGGCCCGGCAGGGCAGAGCCGGGCTGGCCGAGGGTTTCTAGGGTTACGGCCAAACACCGCCCTCGGCTCCGGGGCGGGACTGCACCGCCCTCATCGCGGCGCAGCCGGAGGCGCGGGGAGGAGCCGCCGCCGCCCCGCACCGCTTCGTCTGCAGCGCAGAAGAGACGAGCCGCTTGGAGAGGCCCGGGGGCGGCCTAAGGGTGCGCTTCATGCCCTTTAGGGCGCGCACCGACCTCGAGTGCGGCCGGGCCCCTACGGCGCGGGGGGGGGCGGGGCACTGGGCGAAGAGCCGGGGCACGTGTGTCAGTGGCGAAACGCGCGGCAGCGCTGAGAAGAGGGCGGCGGGCGCGTTTCAACTACAACGCGTCCCAGGGGTTCTGGTTCAGGGCCTGGCGCCAGGGTGATCTTCCCCGGGATGGGGCTGGAGGTGACCCAAGGCTGCGCCTACACCTCCCATTAAGCACGTTAGGTAATGCACTATCCGCAGGCATTTGTACACCTTTGCAGTGCAGCGCCGGGCACGCATGTGTACAAATGGCAAATTGTGTGTCTAAAATGCATTGAAGGTGTTTTAGTTCAGAAGCGCGCTGCCGTCATTTTCTCAGCACTGACCCGCGTTTTGCCGCTTATACGAATGCATGAGACAGCGCCGGGCACGTCCGCTCGCAGGGGGAGCAGACTCGATTCATTGAGTCTGCTCCAATACAGTTACTCTGCTGCTCGCGAGATCTGGTGTAAGCGGATAAGCGTCCTCCATTGTGAGGTACTAGACAAATGTGCATTAGCCTGGCTTAATGCACTTAACTGAAGTACACACTTTTAAAGTGATTAGCTTATTTTAATGCACATTAAGGAAAACATTTCATGTGATCCTTTAATGTGTATTAGAATAGGCTAATGTGCATTAAAACGCATGTGTATAGATGTGCTCTAAGAGACCAATCTCTGCTCCACACACCTGTCGACAGGAGGTGCAGGTCTTTTCTTACGGCAGAGCAGGCTGGGATTCCTCTTTTCTTCCCTCTGCTCCCTTCTCTACTTTTGGGGCACGATGCTTTACCTCACAAGGGGCTGCACCTTGGCTGAGGTTGCAGCACCATTGGAGTCTGGCAGCAGTCAGCTTCTCCCAGTTCTTGATGTGAGCAGCCAGTTTCTTGAGGTCTGCCTTCAGTGTGTCCTTGCAGCACTTCCTCTGGTCACAGCGAGATTAAATTTCCCTATCACTCAGTTTAAGATCCAAGCAAAAACCAAGATACCGTTACTGCCATGTGCTTTTGTTTGCCGTATTGTATCTTATGACTGAAAACACAGTGGACTAGGCACAGCTCCAAAGGAGTTGTCTCATTAGTCCTGCAGTCATTACGATGAAATGCACATCTCTTTCAGAAGCACAAGACAAAATCGAGCTTACCTGAGCATCTTGGCAGAGCACCCCATGCGTCACTGAAAGTTATTTCTGTACCTGAGTTAATGCTCACCTGGGTTAACGTTTCCACACCTGAAGTAATGTTTTTGGCTAGATTTAAAGCAGTCTGCAGGGCTCTGAGGTAGGAGCCACCTTACCAGGAGCAGCCATCAGACAGCTGAAGTTCAGAAGAAAGGCTGGCTTGATTAGTGGAACATCAAGATGATTGAAAACAATAGAGGGTTATTAACAGCTGTGGAATGAATAGTTTAGAAGGGATCAGCTAGATTATAAATGATCCATGAGGTCAGCTGACTCCTCTGTTGCTGCCTGACTAGAAATGCTGCCGCCTGCCAGGCGCTTGGTGTTAAATTTCAGGTGGAGCAGGAATCTGCAAGGGGGGCAGGGGGAGGCAGCAGGGGGTAACTGCACCTTTCTGGATCCACGCCTGCTCGGCTATGCTCTCCATGCCTCTCAACAAACCACCCCCTCCGATTCCATGCAAGTCCCTGTCCCACATCCTGGCTCTGGCTCCTGCAGCGATGCTTGCTCTCCTGTGAGTAGGTGAGCTTAGCATGGAGGCCTGGACTTTGGACAGACAAGAAGATGATACAGGGGCAGCATAGGACACAAAGGCAGTGCATTTTGTAGCTGGCGTAACCATTACTCAGAAGCCCAGGGCAGTGCAAGGGAGCAGCAGGGAAACGAAACAGGGATGGAGAGGAAGGTTAAAAAATTACAAAGAAAATTAGCAACTCAAAACCTTGGTTAATGTAGAGCAGTGTCTCAAGGCCTTTGCCTGTGGGGAGCAGCTCAGCACAAACTTCTGAAAACCAGCAATAAGGAATTAAAGCAACCAAGAGGTGCATGCTACCGTCTCAATAAACATGGCAATACCACACATACAAGCACTGGGTCCTTATAGGTGTTATGGGCCACAGGGATCTCCAATTCAGGAGAAACCTTTAGCTATGAA